TGAAATTAAAAAGCTTATCAGCCTCGAACATATCAGTTACCTCAAGCATCAGGGACGTGAACTCTTTCACATGGTACCGCACGTGACTCGTTTTTTTCAACCGTCTTAGAGCTTTCCTAGCCTCCCAAACAGTATTTGTAGGAAGGAACTGCAACTTCATTGCTTTCTTCATGTCCTCCCACATCTTGATCATGGGTGTGTCAGCATCGTTCTTTTGGGTCCACCACCAAAGCTTAGCATCACCTTTCAAGTAAGAGAGAATGAAGTTCACCTAGTTCTGGGAACGAGGGTAAGACAACGGTGGTAACAAGGTACGATTCCTTTGAGTTTTCGGTGATGCCGTTGGGCTCACAAATGCCCCGGCTACCTTTTGTAAGTTGATGAACGATGTCTTGTATGAGTATTTGGATAAGTTTGTCGTGGTTTACCTTGATGATATTGTGGTGTATTCAGTGACCCTTGAGTTACATGTGCAGCAATTGAGATTAGTGTTCCGACAGCTTAGGGAACACAAGCTGTACGTGAAAAAGGAGAAGTGTGAGTTCTGCTAGCAAAGAGATTGTTTTCCTTGGTCACATCCTTGGCCATGGGAAAATCGGAATGGACCCCCGGAAGGTCAAGGCGGGGTTGAATTGGACGGCCCCGAGTAAAGCCCAATAGTTGCGGTCGTTCCTCGGGTTGGCGAATTGCTATAGACAGTTCATCAAGGGCTACTCGAGACTTGTTGCCCCTTTGACGGACTTGTTGAAGAAGGACATGGCATGGGTTTGGTCTAGGAAGTGCAAGGAGGCATTCTAAGACATGAAGGCTGCCATTGCAACGGAGCCGGTCCTGAAGTTGCCCGATTTTGCCCGTCCCTTTGAGGTACAAACCGATGCTTCTGACCGTGCTATTGGTGGTGTCTTAGTGCAGGATAAACACCCGGTTGCCTTTGAAAGTCAGAAGTTGAAAGAGCATGAGATGCGGTACACGACCCATGAGAAAGAGACGACGGTTGTTGTACATTGCCTACAGTTTTGGCGACACTACTTGCTAGGAACTCGTTTCAAGTTGGTGACCGATAATGTGGCGAACACTTACTTCAATACCCAGCAAAAGTTGACTCCCAAGCAGGCTCGATGGCAAAATTTCCTAACAGAGTTCAATTTTGAGTGGCAGCACCGGCCCGGGAATGAGAATCAGCTGGCAGATGCCTTAAGCCGAAAGGACGTAGAAGAGTACGTTGCTGCCATTTCCCTTGTTGAAAGCCGTTTCAGGGAGGAGCTGAAATGAGAAAGTGAGAACGACTCGGTCTATGAGAGACTCAAGCAACAAGTCACAACCGGTACGGTGAGAAGGTATTGGCTTGAAGACGGTTTACTGTTTGCTAAGGGTACAAGGCCTATGTTCCGGCGGGCGGTAACTTGAGGCGGAGATTGCTGCACGAGACGCACGATCACGAATGGGCTGGTCACCCGGGGATCAAACAAATGCATGCGTTGCTGTCCCGGTATTATTTCTGGCCAAAGATGGAGCATGACATAGAAGCCTACGTGAAGTCTTGCTTGGTGTGCCAACAAGACAAGACAGAGAGATGGAAAGAAGCGGGATTGCTGCAGCTGTTGCCTATACTGGAGAGACCGTGGCAGTCGGTGTCCCTTGATTTCATTAGCAGCTCCCCAAAGATTAACGGTTTCGCTTCTATCCTTGTTGTTGTTGATCGTTTTTTTAAGCATGTCGTGTTTATTGCTGCCCCAGCTGCTCGTTCTGCTAACGTTGCTGCCGAGTTATTCTTCAAGAACGTTGTGAAGTACTTCGGCTTACCGGAGGATATAGTCAGCGACCGGGATGCCCGTTTCACGGGCCGATTTTGGATACAACTTTTCAATGCATGGGCACGCAGCTGAAGTTTGCCACGGCCAATCATCCGCAGACAGACGGCCAAACGGAGCGAGTAAATGCCATTTTGGAGGAGTATCTACGGCATTATGTCATGGCAAGTCAAAAGAATTGGCCTGATTTACTTGATGTTGCCCAATTTTGTTATAACCTATACAGGTCGTCGGCCACGAAGATGAGTCTGTTTGAGTTGGTGAACGGGGAGTAGCCAATGATGCCCCATGAGATAGCAATGAAGGCCGTTGTTGGTTCTTGTCCCGCAGCGTACCGGTTTGCAAGGGTAAAGCAAGAGTTGCTTGAAGGCACTTGAGTTAGCACAACGGCCCTTATGCGGGAATATGGGATAATCATGCGAGACGGTTAAGCGGGAACCCGAGCTGAGTTAAACAACATTGCAGCACAGCCCCCGGGTGCATCCGGAAGCGAAGTTTGCTGGAAGGAGCTGGGAGCTTCTAGAACCGTGGGACCCATTTTGTACACTGTGGAAAAATGCATGGCAGCCAACGTGTAGGCTTGCATGTTAGAGTTGCTGCCAAGATGTACCATTGCATGTTGTAGCCTTGTAGTCCAATGCATGTTAGGGTATTCTTTCCCCATTCTTGCATATATAGGGGGCCTTGGCTCATTTGAAGTCATAGAGAGTTGAGTTGTAAGCCTTCTTAATTTAGAGAGTCTTTCCTTGTGTTTTGAGTAATAATAGAAGGTTGAGTCGGTCTCCGGCTTGTATTTCTCGAGCCCCTTTTTCTTTCCGGTTTCAGTTTGTCCCTTGTTTCCTTGGTTAGTCCCTTGTTTTCTCGGGAAGCCCGGGGTGTCCCGAGTGTACCGGGTTTTCTTGGTCCCTTTCTGTTTGCTGGTTAACGTTTCCCTGTATTTCTCGGTAAGGTGAGTGCTTACCCGAGTCTTGCTGCATTTCTGGGTAAGCTTGAGTGCTTGTGCCGGGGCTTTGCTGCATCTCTCGGTAAAGCCAGTTGCCTAACCTGAGCTTTGCTACATTTCTTGGTAAAGTTGGTTGCTTGTTCTGGGTACTCTGATTGCCGGGTTCTGCTGAGTGCTTTTCCCGGGGTGAGGCGAGTGGTTATCCCGGGTCTTCTTGTGCGGAGAAAGAGGGCCGGGTAACTAGGATGCCCAGGGAACGGTTTGCATACCTACTGAGTTTGCTACCTGATAGAGCAGGGGGACGGGTTAGCATTAAGGAAAGGTTGTCGGCTTAGCGGCTGGTCCTTGTGAGAGGACCCAAGGAACTCATAGCACCTCACGGGGACGGTCAAGTGAGACTAGCGCGCGAATAAGCACACAACTGGTCGGGGGCTAATGACGCTCCCTTGATGAACCCAGGGTAGGGCGAAACCAGTAGGCTACGAGGGTGTATGCTGATCCTGCAGGGGAAACTGGGAGACCCTGGGGATGCTGCACGGGTGGCTACAGGAGCTGTCGGGCGAGCACGTGACAAGTGGTATCAAAGCCATCGTGCGAGAGAGTTGTGTGCCTCCGTTGGGAAAAGCTCGAGGGCATCACCTGGAGGATGGGTGCGCATGACCTGGGAAATGGGTGCGTGCAGAGCGCAGAGGCGCCGTGCCAAGGAAAATGAGCTGAACGTGCATTGTCGCCCGAGGAGTGGTGACCCGCCTTGAGGAGAGGTAGATGCTTGGCGCAAAGGTGCTAGAGGGCACAACTAATAGCATGTGATCTTGGGGCGAGTCGTTTTATACCCACCTAGCACGAGGGCATGCTAGAATTTAAGTGGGGGGAGGTCTGTTACCATGTAACTAGGATACCCGGGGACCGGTTTGCATATCTACTGAGTTTGCTGTCTGGTAGAGTAGGGGGATGGGTAAGCATTAAGGAAAGATTGTCGGCTTAGCGGCTGGTCCCTGCGAGAGGACCCGAGGAACCCGTAGCACCTCGCGGGGATGGTCATGTGGGAATAGCGCGCGGATAAGCACACAACTGGTCGGGGGCTAATGTCGCTCCCCTGATGAGCCTGGGGCAAAGCAAAACTAGTAGGCTATGCTGTGTAGGCTGATTCTGCAGGGGAAACTGGGAGACCCTAGGGATGCCGTACGGGCGGCTGCAGGAGCTGTTGGACGAGCCCATGACAATCGATGAATGTCGTCCAATAATGATAATCTTGAAAATTCCCTTTCTAGTCCAATTATCATAATCTAACAAAAAAAAACGATTTATTGCAAAGGCAGTGAGAAATATCAATCATCAGAAGAATATATCACCACAATCTTCAAAACCCAATCTCATAAAAAATGATAACAAGAGAATATAAATGCAATTCCGCCTTGTTCATCAAATCATTAATATCCACAATAAATAAACATTAACGAGAGAGCAAGGAAACAAAAGATAATTTCTTCACATAATCAAGGTGAATATCAGACTTGTTATGCCATGATGACAGAAAAAAAAATAGTCACAATTGTCAATTCGTAGGTTCAAAGATGTATCGATACATATTGCTAGACTTATTAAATTCTATTGATTTACAAATCAAAACCTCAAACCACGCTCTGATACCATATGTAAACTTTCATAGGCAAAATCTTTCTTTCGTTATGATTTGTAAAACAATAATAATAATAACAATAAATGCATACCTTAGCCGTAGTAGTCGAACTGCAACTGCTTAATTGATCATCATTGTATAGCCTACTGCTGTCTTGATCTTCTCTCTCCTCATCTATAATTGTATGCTTTGATGGGTAAACACGCGTACGTAGTTTAGTGGAGAGAGGGACCAAGAGAAACACCGTATATACAAAAGTATCGTAACCCTTCCCATCATGAGTTATTCCTCCGAATAAAATTCCTCTAGTAATTATCCCATCTAACTATAACTTAATAATTATCTAACGTAAATAAACCTTTACTAAAATTATATCTGATAGGTTAAGAGACAATATAGGGGTCATGTAGTCCACTTCACTTATGACATCTAACACCAAGAATCAAGTTGGGTTCTCAGGGGCTTGAAGTTTCAGCTCAAGGGCCAAGATGCATGGGCATGTCCGCCTTCTACGGCCCGCCCAAGCCCGAACCGGACATGATCAACCTCATACACTATGCTATTGATATTGAATGAGGAATCACCCACCTCGACACCGCCGAAACCTATGGCCCTTACACCAACGAATTACTCATCGGCAAGGTGCGTAAAATTTCCTTAGAATGTGTTGTTATATTATGTTGTACCGTGAATTATTTTTCTAGGAGGGATGGAGTATTATTTATTTATGAGAATAAGTGTATCAAATCTAATTCTTGTAATGTGTAGCTTGATATATTACATTCTAGGAATCCATTTTTAATACTAACATAGTGAAGGGTAAGTTAATTTGATTGATTTAGCTTAATTCGATCAACAATCATATGAGTGACGGAAAAACTATAAATTTTCCAATATTTTTTTGAATATGCATATTGTTAGTTTTTTGAAGGTACTAACAAAAGTGTGTTTGATTAATTAGGCTTTGAAGGGAGTTCCAAGAGTGAAAGTGGAGACTGCATCAAAATGTGGGTTCAAAACAGTGGATGGGAATCGGGTTGTTTGTGGCGAACCAGCCTATGTACGAGCAACAGTTGCAGGAAGCTTGAACCGCTTGGTATTGACTGCATTGATCTATATTATCAGCATCGCGTTGATACAAGTATACATGTTAACGCATGCAAATTAAGGGTTAAGAAATTTGTTTTGTGAGACCCTTTTGGACATTTGTTCTGAATGAATTGTTGCACTTAAAAAAAGCATAAAGTTGTGTCGAAAATGTAAAAATGGTGCATTAAAACTCTGTCTTGAGGGACCAAAACCAAGATCAAGCTCACATAATGTGCAGGGCTGACAGTTTTCGTCTCAATGCTTCCGATTCTGGCCTTTTCTTGTTCTTGTAATTTTTTGTTTTTGGTAGATTGGGGAGCTTAAGAAGCTAGTTGAAGAGGGTAAAGTAAAATATATAGGTTTATTTGAGGCCTCACCTTCAACACTTAGAAGGGCTCATGCTGTTCATCCTATAACAGCAGTACAATTGGAGTGGTCTTTAAGGTCCAGAGATGTGAAGGAAGAAGTAATTCCTACTTGCAGGTACTGCATTAATTTGTGGAGTAATTTTTATGTTTGCTTCCATTTTGAAGTCACTATCCCACTTCTTCATGGTTGATTTTGGCTCTATTCCAAAACTATTTGTGGAGTAATGCACATTTTGCTTAAATTTCATGAAATTGTTTGATCTGCAGAGACTAGTTGAAGTCTTGGCTGGCATTATTGTTTGCCATGGACTAAAGTTGGATTTATCTGTTTACAGTTCACTCCAAGGCTGCAAGCAGAAAATTTGTAACATAAAAAGAAGTTGTTCGACCGGGTGAATGCCATGGCCTCAAAGAAGGGTTGTACTCCATCTCAACTTGCATTATCCTGGGTGCATCATCAAGGAAATGATGTCTGTCCGATACCAGGCACTACCAAGATTGAGAACCTCGAACAGAATATTGGAGCATTGTCTGTAGAACTCTCGACAGAAGACATGGCTGAACTCGAATCCATCGCTTCAGCTGATCCTGTCAAGGGTGATAGATATGGTCCTGGGATTACTACTTGGCAAAATTCTGATACACCACCTCTTTCAACGTGGAAGACTGCATGAAAATCTCAGTTCTTTTTGTTTTGTGTTTGATCTATTTCAGCGTGTTGATGTTTTGCGAGTTTGCATTGTAATAAGATCTCATGATGTGAGTATTAGAATTTATATCCATGGTATTAATTCTATTTATAAACCATTATTTTTATATATAAAAAAAATCTTCTAAAATTGGAATAGTATTGTTTATTCATCAACATCAACATAGCCAGTATAGTATATCAACCAAGTTGGGGTCGGGGAGATTAGTTGTACGTAGCCTTGCCTTCGTAATCACACAAAGACGTTTTCGTTGCGACCTAAGGAGTATTTTTTGTTGAATTCATTTAATTTTATTATGGCCATACTATTATGGATATTAAGGGAGAATATTTTCCTATAATGAGGAAAGGGAAGTTATTGATGAACTATCTTAACTTTAAAATGATGCCACTATTTTTGGGATGGAGCATATTTTGCTAGAAAGAGTAACAAGATTCTGTTATTCTTTTTTAAGTTTCAAAATACCATACTAATGGCGACAATTAGTTTAGAGTTATTATTCATACACGCGACACACGAGGGATCTTTTTAGTCTTCGGTCAAAATAAAAATTAGTTGCATAATTCTATGTCTACACACATCATGAGCCATGTTAAACTTTTGTAAAACGCTTCATCCTGATGTCGTGGAAAATATCTACTGGGACTGTAGCTATAGTTTTTTGAGCATCATCAATAAATTAAAATATCTACTTCCTCCATCCCAAAATATATATAATATAAGAAATATATTCTTATATTATATATACTAGGAACGAACAAATCAATACATAAAATTGTAAGATGGTGAATAGAACGAACAAATCAAAAGTAAATCCTATATTGGGAGCAAACTAAACAAAAAAAAAACAGCGAAAAATTTACTGATTGTCAATCCTTCTAATTTTAAATTGGTTAGCGGAAAATACAAATCAAATGTTATGCTCCCGGCGATATTAGATATGACACACTGGCGTGGGAAAAAACAAATAGACTATCAATATAATTTTGAAAAACTAAAAATCATATGCACTATAGTTTCATTTGAACTAAAAAAAAATTAGATAAAAACAAATAGGAGTATCAAAGTTTTTTCTCATAGTTCCAACAATTCAAGAATGAATGTGTGCATTTGGGGTTTTCGTTATGATTTAAATAGTAATCAAAATAGGTATGAATATGACCTTTACAGATCAAATCAAATCAAAATTAATTATTATTTTGATATGTATTCGTCACGATTAAATAGTAACTATTTTTAATTAATACTTTAATATCAATTAGCACCACTAAGTGTGCTAGAACTCAAATATGTGATTATCGTGTTTCCTAATATAATTTTATGCAGGATATGCTTTTCTTTGTTTTCATAATAGCAATTTTTCTTCTTCAATAATAATATTCACCTCGAAATATCATCTCGAAAATCCATCGCGAAGAAGCTGACCATCCACGTTGTAAACTCCACATCAGCCTTTTGTTATATTTTGTAATTAATCGAATTAATAAAATCTCAAAAGGGGAAAGAAACTTCTAAAATAAAAAAGTTGCTGCACTATATCTTCAAAACCCCCGAACTCCTCCTCTCCCTCAAATATATCGGTCACCGTCGTCGGTCAGAGATTCTAACCAGCCCCAATTCTTCAATCCTCATCAATCGTTTTACTTCGAAAAATCATCGATTATTGCAGTAGTTGATGAAATTGAAGATTGCAACTCTTTCTTTATCATTTTTTTGGTTCCTTGCTTTGATTAAAAGATACTGATTATGAGATTGTCCTATATATCGATTGCCCTTTCTCCCACTGCATTTGGGACCTTTTCATCCCGATTGATCAGCCGCATGAGTTTTTCATTGATGTCATGTTTGAATGGTTTTTGATAAACATGATTAATCTGCCCGTGATGGTGGCAATAGGTATGGGATGTATCTTTTCGAATAAATTTTTGGTAAGATTTGAAATTGGAGAATGACTGTGTTTTCTGCAATAAAGATCTTCCATAATATTGCCTGACTCTACTGCATTTTAAAATTTTTTAATTTAAAAAATATTCCGAACCTGGGAGAAGAAGAAGAGACAATTACCTGACTCTACTGAGTTATAAAATTAATCAGCCTTGCCGAATTGATGAAGATCGGAGAAGGGACTGGTTACAACTTCAGACCGACGCTGGTATTTGGAGGGATTGATCTGACGGAGAGGAGTTGGGGGAGAAGAGTTTGAAGATGCAGCAGCTTTTTGATTTTTCAGGGATTTTTTTTTCTTTTGGGAATTTATTAATCCAACTAAAAAATTAAACAAAAATCTGATGTGGACTTACAACTTGGATGGCCAACTCCATCGCGATGGATTTTCGAGAAGCTGTTTCGAGTTGTATATCACCACTCTTTGTTCTTCTAGTTTTTTATATATATTGATTCAGTCAAATCAACATTGCCTAACTTATTCAGCTAAATCATAATATGTATGATGTTCCTTTTAAGTAAACCAATCCATATTTTAACCCATCATTTCTGCAATCCCTAGGAAGTATTTCGATTAAAAATTCAATATCCAAATTTGACCCATAATTTGACCGATTCAATCAATACTATTAATGTACTCTTTCTGTCTCAAAATTGTTGTCTAATTTGAAATTTCACTTTTAGTATAATTTAAACTAGAAAATCCACATTGAACAATAATTATGAAACGGAGAAAGTATAACCTTTTAAAAAATGGGGGGAAGGGATGGATGAGACATAAAGATCTACTATATCTCCTCAACTGAAATGAAAAAATCTCAAATTACTTTTAGGCTCTGTTTGGTTGCATTGAATTGGGACCAAGAATTGGAATTGGAGCTCTTTAATTCTAATTTTTGTGTTTGGTCGGTAAAAATAGAGGTCCAAGAATTGAAATTATAATTCAAGATGGGGCTCAATTCTTTATTTTCAATTCTTTTGTGGGAGTAAATAATTGGAATCCAATTTCAAGGACTTAAAGAAAAAATACGCGGGTCATAACCGGGTCGTTTCTGGGTTATAACCTAAACGAGTCACCCTCTCAATTTTGTCTTTTGGCCTTTATATATATATATATATATATATATATATATATATATATATATATTTTAATTTTATTGTTTTTCAGCTTTTTTCTTTTTCTTTTTCTGCTTTCAACGCTTTTTTCTTTTCTTTGTTTTTCTTTTTTTGGACTGTTTGTCTCATTAATATTATTATTATTATTATTATTATTGTCATATATATCATTTTAATAATTATCAACGAAATCAATATAAAATTAACATTGTATCTTTTTTACAAAATCAAAAGTATAGCAGCGGTACCCAAAAAAAAAAATTAATAACTAAATATTTTAGTTTTGGGTTAAATTTTTATTATATTATGACATAGTAAAAAACATAACATTTTCATTTTTTTTAATATAGAAATTGTTCCATGTATACACCTATATTATAATACATACATATATATATATATATTAAACTATTCATGGCGTCTTTTCACCAAAAATTATGTAAGTTGAGTTTTAAGTATCTATTATTTCATATGAAAATGATATAGTTAGTGAAAAAAAATAGTGTAAAAAGATAGTGAGTGATGTGGCTTATTCTTGGCCCCTAGTTTTTTGTCACTTTCCCGTTAAAATTTTATCTTGCCCTAAAAAATTATATTTTTACCCTTTATTAATAAATACGCATATTTAGTGAGGATGGTGTATTTGTCTTTTCATTAGTCACTATAATTTTTCATTGTAATTAGTCATTGTCTCTATCATTGCTCTATTTCATATATAATTATATACTAGAATAAAAACATTTAAGCATATATTATATACTATTGTTAATCTATGTATAAATGAACCTCAATATTCATAAACTGAATTTGCAATGTTATATAATAAATTTTTAAAATTTTTGATATAAATTAAAACATAAAAAATTAAAAATTTTGAAAAATAATAAAAGAGAGGAAAACAAGGATGTTTTAGGTGCTACTTGTTTGTGTATTAAGTGAGAATTTTAAGTATCATTTTAATTATTCTTATACATAATAATATTTCTTTTGTTTCCAACAAAAATGTGTGTACATAATAAATTACAAAATTGATATAGCAAATTAATTAAAAATAATAATTTGTTTCAAGAAAAAAAGTAAAAAATGTATTAGTTAAACAACCACAAAGTAGTCAAATATACATGTATATAATGAATTTATTTATTTTTTGTGTTATACATATCTATAATAAAATAAGTTCTTTTTTTTAGTTTTTGACAAGAAGTATAAATTGTACTAGTATTAGTTATACAATAACAAAAAAGTATCCAAATTTTTGTGCATCCAAACACAAGAATTGGAATTAGAACCTTAATTCTTGTAAATTTTCAAGATCTCCTAAACAAAGGAATTGAGATTGAATTACAATATTAATATCTCATTTTCAATTCAATAGTATTGTAATTCTAATTCAATTGCAATTCAATCTAACCAAACGGAGCCTTAACTGTTAAAGAGTAGCACTGCATCGGTATTCTTTCTTTTGGGAAAATAATAAAAGGAAGAAAGAAATTGGATGCATGATTATTCAAATCCATAATTAATACTAACAACAATTCCTAATATTCCTAAAAAATAAAAGGAAGAAAAAAGTAAATGAACTGTGCAAGTTCGAGTTCGGTCATTTAGTTCCCATTTCCTAACGCTGACTGAAATTTTCTTCATCCATTTGGTTTTTATGTCTATCCAACTTGTTTCGTAGTTGTAATCCAATGGGTTTGTGTGCGTATCCAACTTGTTTGTACTGGATATTCATCCATTTGGTTTGTATGTCTATCTAACTTATGGGTACTAGTTATCCAACAGATTTATATGCCTATCTAAATTGTTTATACTGGTTATCCAATCTTTTTTTTTTGTTTGAAAAAAATGATTGTCCAATATGCCAATACTGGTTATCCATTTTGTTTATACCGCTTATCTCA